CAGGCTGGCGGCCACCGCGGCGGGGGAAGGAGGCAGGGAGCGCAGAGGAACTGGAGATGCAGGTGAGGGCCTCACCTGCGTCTGACACACTTTATTTCTTCGACAGTAACAGCAAACAGGTTTTAATCGGATACAGCCAAATGGTAACATCTGCTTAAAATGTTGAGGCTTTGAATATGCCAAATTATTTTCTATACTTTGTAACTGGAAAAGCTGAAGCCGTGTTTCTTCACTGTAGCGATTCAGAGTGAAATGCAGCCGCCTGGGACCTCCCCGCCGTCAGGCTGCGGTCGGTCTCACCGAGGGGGAGGCGTCGTGAGCGCCGACCCAACCGGTCGGCGGCCGTCGGGGGAGCAGCCGTGTGTAAGGGCCGTCCCGTGGAGTCCGTGCTCAGAGGCCTCGCCGTCCAGCCTCGGCGGGGCTGCTGTCGAGGTTGAAACTGGAGGGAGGATTCAGCACGATCCTCTGGAGTAAAACATGAAAAGTTTAAGGATGCTAATAAAAGCCCAAGTAGACACTGGAGAAAAATACGGCCTGAAATGTGAATGAGCATCAGTCAGGAAGCAATAGCGGAGCTGAGCCCAAGTCACGAGAACTGTCACTCCTCTTCTCCGGGGGTAGTACCCGCTGTCATCGCGTCTTGGGACCATTCAGTCACGGAGCCTGCGGTCCCACCTCTGCAGACAGCTGGGAGCACGCCGCCTGCCGTCCTCGTCCGAGCGCCTTCGACTGCTCCTGTGTGTCACCGTCAGAACTGTCACGTGCTCACGGCCGCTGTACCTGCCGATGCTGACGTCTCGCTGCCCCGGGTGGCGGGTGGGGCTCGCAGGACGACTGGCGCACGAGACAGAGTCCTGAGAGGTGGCGGGTGCCTCGCCCACAGGTTCGCCCACAGAGCGAAGGAACAGAACAGGAGAGGCCCGAAGCCGCAGCCGTCCGGCCAGCCTGCTGCGCCCGCCCGAGGGGCCCTGGCGCCCTGCAGAGTCCAGACCCGGGGCGCGGCCCCGGCGCTTCCGGACAGGTGTTGCTGCGCACCTGTCTGAAAGGCTCTGCTTCGGTCACCGCGATTCGAGTCAGCGGGTTGTTTCCCTGTCCGGGTCTCCCGCCTGAACACTGTTCTGTTTTTTTACTTCTTTTAGCGTGAAAAGTTTAAGACGTACGGAAAAGTTGAAGAGTCCCCTGCCACCTAGATTCCACAACAGTGACCTGTCTTTGAGAAACTCTTACTCAGTTATAACCCAGAACAGCGAGACTTCTGTGTAGTTTTCAGCAGTGAAGAACCACCCACTTCCCAGAACATGCTAGACAGAGTGCGTGTTTGTTAAGGGAGGAGCCACGAACGCCTGCAGCTTCACAGATTTCTGGCGACAGGTGGAAGGTACTTTGACTATGTGGAAGGTACTCAGCCTCGCTTGACTCTGTGTCACTGAGTCAGCTCCTGCGGAGGGGGGGATGGTAAAGAGCTGACAATGAGCAAGGTGGTCCCTGCCCCTGACCGGTCACAGGAGACAGAGGCAGCTAGGTAAGCAAATCCACGTGGTGGTACCCTGTGACCACACGGCACCGTGAGGACCCCGAGGGGAACCAACCGGCTCTTGGAGATCCCCAACACGCTCATCGAAGGGGAGCACGTGAGGCCCAGGGCCTCGGGTCAGTGGGATCTCGCCTGACGGAGGAGGTTTCAGATGCAAAAGCTGAGCGTCAGCAACAGCACACCCCAGCCAGGTCTGGGGCGCCGGCCAGGGTGTGGGGTGATGAGGGGAAGGAGGCGGAGAGGCGGTGTCTGATTTGTGTTCAGGGAAGAAGGCTGCCACAGGAATATGGGGGGCAGGGCTGCATGCAAGGGGGGAGGAGCAGAGCGCCTCCCCTCTCCGACAGCCCCCGGAGCGGCCCACATGTTTGCCGAGTGTGTGCTGCCTGCCACACCGGTGGGTGCCGCGGGGAGCAAGATGATCGGCCATCCCGGTGCCGCCGAGCGGATAGGTCGCACGGCCCGTCTGTCTGCCCAGAGCTCTGCCAACCGCGCTGGTCTTGTGTGACGCCCGCGGGTTTCTCCCTCCTCACTCGACCACAGGTCAGCTTTCTGACGCTAGGAAGCTGCTGCGTGCACTCCCCTGCAGATCAGAGGAGAAGAACCTGCAGAACTTTCTCTGGAGATAAAACTGAGAGAAGAAGCCACATCATGCTTAGTCTCTGCGCCCCAGTCGCTGACACGGCGTTGCGAATATCCTACGCTGTTTGTCATTCAGTGAATCTCGGAGATGTTCAGGACGTGAGGTGCACAGGCATGCGTGAGCTGTGGCACGAGGTGGGTGTGAGAAGTGGAGGGGGCTGGAGTGGCCCCAGGGCCCCCTGGCAGGAGGGACGGTGATCTGGTCACCTGAGACAGGAGACGGAGGGCGGAGGGGACGGGAGGGGAGAGGCGAGGGGACAGAGTCCGTGTGAGTTGTCTGTCCCGCTGCCCACATGCTGCTTCCTCTTCAAAAGCTTCGTATAGAATCTCCTGGAACTTTGGTTCACGGTGGGGGGTGGGGGGGGGGGGTGCAGGAATACAACCAGAATTGTTCCAGTGTTGAAAAATAAGCTGGCCAGCCCCCTCGGCCAAAATGTACAATGTTTGGGAAATTCTTCACTCAGGACATGCCTCCCCGGGCCTAGACTATTTGAAATGTATCCGTTTTGGATTTACTTTTAGTTGCTTCATGTAGCATCAAAGAAACAAAGAAACGATAACTAATAACGTCTGTCAGTAATGCTGGTCAGAGAATTAGAAAGGACATATGACAGAAGTAATAAGGCTGGGGGAGGAAACTTGGGAAAAACAAAACAGGACCGGAAAGAAGAGAGGGGTCGTAAGAAGAATGTTTGAGCTCTTTGATTTCTTTGGCTAATAGGTTGGGTTTTTCTTGGTTGGTTGGTTTATTTGGCCATAATTCAGGTACCTACTTCTGCTTGGAATTACTTTTGTACATCGTCTTATTTGACAGCCTAAATTCATCATAATGCAGGTTTTCATCTGGAGATCGTACAGTTAATATATTAATAAAATAAGCCTTAAATAAATTTCATTCCTCTGCTATTTATTAACAAAAAGTTCATGTATTTCTTCTTCACTGGATTCTGTGATAAACAATCTCAAATGCCTATCTTCACAGTGCAAAAATAACCATGTAGACCTCTTCAGCTTTTTTTATGGCTGTTTTTTTTTTATTATTATTCTTTTGTGCAGAAGCAGGGAGGTTTCCTAAGACATATCATCACAACACGCCTCCGTTTGTCAAATCGCAGGTCACGTAAAAGACTCAACGGCGCCTCGTGCTGCACTTGAACCGGAGTTGTAAGCGTGTTTGTGTGCCGCGTCTTTACGACGAGAATACATTTTAACAGAAAAATCGTACCCTCCAAGGCGTTTCCCTCGCCGCGTCCGTCCGTCCGCGGCAGGCGGAGGCGGCCTTGGAGTGGGCGGCCGAGACAATGGAGCCCCCTCATTTCTCATGCGCGCGCGCGGCAGAGGGCTGAGGTTATTAGTCGAAACCGAGTAACCTTTCAGGCTTTCATCTCTTTCTTTCCGAATTTGAATATGAAAAGCATATTCAAGTCAAAGACCATCACTTTAATGACATTTGGCAGTCATTTGATTTATTGGGTTTTAGAAAAAAATTTTCCTTTAAATATTTCATCATACTATGCTAATCCTCGTAATATTGCCAGCTGCAGCCTTGTACCTGTATTAGCGGAGACAGAATGGTGTGGAATTTTCTCTGTCATCCTAGTAAAATTTCCATGAATCTACTGAATAATAAAATAACCTTATTGAAATATTCAGATTTGGGTTTTTAGTTAAAGTGTCTCAGAATACATAATGAAAGGAAATGTCTTCTGAAAGAAGGGGTAAAATTACCTCATCAAATATTGAGGGGGTTGGACAGCAAAGGAAATTGTGCTTTATGAGGCTATTTTTACAGGAGGATACTGGTGCTTTTCAATTTGGTTAATTATATCATATGCCTTGGAATATCTAAGTAATCACTATGGCAGATTTACACACTGATGTGTATTTAACAATGAATTTCTAAAAGTAGGTCATATAAACAAGGCTAACGTTCAGGATTTCCCAATTATGATTCGAAGTCATATGATTTCCAGCAGTGTGCCTCTAGTATAATACAGCTGAATAAAGAAACCCCCCTTTATTAAAAACTATAAAAACAAACATTTAACTGAGGCGTCACCTTGACGCGATCCCATTTTTGAGCCATCGTCTATTATTTGTTTTAAATCATTCCCGGGGAAACACATGTGGCCCCCGTAACAACGGCTGTGACACCGAAATCCACTGAATGAAAATCAAAGGGCAAATGACACTTATCAAACAAACACGTATTTTATTTGTTAATTCTCTGAAAATGATATAAACATAAATGGTGAGAACATACGTTCAGTTAGATAAAAACTTTGTTTCTTTTGTTTGGAAACGACTGACGGGATGAAACGGGGCAGGCTCTGCTCTAGTGAATGTGGATTCATAGAGCTACATGTGTTGGCGTGATAGCCGTGAAGTGCTCACCAGGCTTCGATCTCTGAGCGACCCAAACTTTCTCAGGGGCGGCACATTAAATAACAGCAGTGATAAACACGAACTTCCTCCCGTAGTCTAAGACGAGGCCAAGGGACGCTTGTCATTCTGAAAGCGCAGATGAAGACCTCATGATCCCCCTTCCTGACGGACTGCCGGTGGGGCATTCGTAGCCACACACGGGATTCAGGGGACTCCGGCCCCGACACCGTCCACTGCAAACCTTGGGGCTTCAGAATCTCACCCCGTCTCCCTCTGTCGCGTATCATCGATCCCGTGCAACTAAATAGCAGCGTTCAGCGCCTTCCTAGAGAACACCATAGGCCTTCGTGTTGTGTTGAAAGTTGACAGTGAGAAGGATTAAAGGGTTTTCTGTTCATTTGTTGTATTTGTTTCTTTGTTGGCTTGTGTTTTTTTTTAACAGACGTCAGAAAGGATTCGGATCGAGGTCATAGCTCTGAGCCTCAGTGACCCCCGCGTGACGGCGGACGACGCCATCCAGCGGCTCTTCGTGGAGTGCCGGTTCTACAGCCTCCCCGCCGAGGAGACGCCCGTGTCCCTCCCCAAGCCCCAGCGCGGGCAGTGGGTCTACTTCAACCACAGCCACGGTGCGTGCGAGCCGGGAGGGCCGGGAGGAAGCCCGCTCCTCCCCTCTCCCCAGAGAGTGAGCCCCCGAGTCTGGTCAGAGTAGACGGGGAGAAGTCACAGCTGAGCATGAGGATACAGAAACTGAAGTGGAAGTGAAGGAAAATTTGAAGCAGTGCCAAGTTAACATGAAAACAGTGGGGAGACAGTGGTCCCGAGTGTACCTGCTGGCTCATAGTATCCTTTTTTAAAAATGCCACCCAGAGCTACAGTTGACTTTAACAGAAAAATTCGGTACTTCAAGGGGTGGGGGGGAGATGTGGTAGTTTATGAGTCATGTGGAATCGAATGACTCAGGGGCCTCATTTTTTCCCCGCCTCTCTGAGCGACGTGGTGGTCACGTAGGTGGGTGTTCTGTAGCAGGTGTCCGCGTCGCCCTGGGGCCGGGTGTTCGGGCCCACGACCTGGTGACGGGGCTCCCCCACACGTCTGCCCGTCTCCGGCAGCAGGCAGGCCCCCTCTTCACGTAGGGCTTCCTCCACCAGCTCACGGACACGCGTGTTTCTCCTGGGCCAGCACGGCCCCCGCAGGCAGGGTTACGCATGCGTGCGGTCCCTTCTTGAGGCTGGCGTGTTCAGAAATGTGTTTGCTGCTTCCAACAGTAATCACAGGGGTCCCGAGTGTTTAGACACCTGGGCTACCCTTCCCTGTAGCCACAGTTCTTACCACTTCTATGTGGACTCAGGCAAGACGTTTAAACTACACGGTTCCCACTTTCTTGCCTGTTGAATAACGTGCTCTCTGAGATCCCTTCCAGCCCAAACGCTGTCATTCCAGAACATTCTGGCTGAGTGATCGCATGGGAAATGAGTAGTGTGGTCGGAGCAGAAACCCGGTCCCCCCCCTTCCTCCCGTCGACTTGATATGACAGAAACATTCCCAAAAATATTTTCTCAAGCTTCCTATAGATGTTTTCACGGCAAAGTACCAGGAAAGAAAACCATATCAAAATATTATTAGAAATGAAAGAACTGTTTAGGCAACTAATTTTAACAAAGGTACCCCCGAGAAAAGGGGCAGGCTCCTCTGGTGTCTGTGTAATCGTTGGTAAAGGCCAGCCGTGGAAAGTCTGGTTGGACTGGGGACAAAGCTGTGTTTTAGGAACTGCGTGTACGTTGACAACCCCGGCCCGGCCCCAGAGCAGATGTTTCCGTCTGCCCCGGGAGCGGCGCGAAGCATCAGAGACGCACGCTCGAGGGTCCTGAGTCTTTGCACATTTGTACCCGGGGGCCTGGGTCTGTGCGGGGCTTTTGCTTGGTCGGTTGGCTGGCACTGGTTCTGCTTTTGTGTGTTTGGTTTCCTCCTGTTACTGCAAGGTACCCTGCTGTCTAGTTGGTGATTTCAGACTGGCCGATACTTCTGTGAACTGGCTGTATGATATCAACGAGAAAGTCAGTAACTTATTAGAAATGAACTCGGTGTGGTGTTCACCTTCCCTCATCATTTCCTGCCCATTGAGATTTGACTCTGTAGACTTTTTAAGATTAATTGAGGGGAGAGGAATGTACTCTGTGCTTAAAAGCAAAATGATGCTGTTTTATTTCTACTGTATCTGGAGAAATGAAGTCCTAGGTCGTCACCAAACTTAAGAAATAATTAATATTAACCTTGTAGGTTTTATTTTATTTTTCACTTAAGTATGACGTAATGAAAATGTTTATTTTTGAAGTGTTACATTTACCTCTCCTTCATTGCAGGGAACCTCCCTGAATCATTGGTTAATAAGTGACCAGTCTAACCTAATTACTGTAATGATTTACCATTCACTTGTTACTTGATATAAAAGATCAGTATAGTGTAGACTCACATCTTCCAAACCTTATACAACGGTAATGAGAGTGATTCCATCTCCCAGCCGACTTTCAGACTCACATGGGCAGTGCGGAAGGACCACCAGCGTGTGCTGTCTGTCTCCTGTCTGAGCACCGCGCGGTGGAGAGGCTGCCCGAACCTGGTGACCCTCCACGGCTTGGATCTGCCCGTGCAGCGGGGGCTGCGCGTGGAGGCCTCAGTCAGGTGCACAAAAGTAGGGGTGGAGACCGGTGGTCCCCAGGGTTGCTCCTAACCCAGCTCAGCCTGTAGTGAGAGGTGTTGATGCCAGCTTCACCCACACAAACAATCTATCTCCTTTGGGCTACTAACACTGAAAAAACATGGGTAGGCACTAGTAGCCAGGACAAAACAATCATCTTTTATTGGGCTTGGACATTGTGCTGAGAAAGTGAAAGAAAAAAGTTTGAAAGAAGATTAAGGGTGGGTCTGGAGAGTGTTGTCTGGGGAACTGACAGTGGGGAGACAGAAGATGAATGCAACCCCCCGGGGTTCTATGGGACATTCACAGAGCGAGGTCCTGCATCTCTGGGCACTGCGGAGTCTGTCTTTTGGGACGACCGAAGTGTCATCTGGAGCGTGAGAAGGATGCAGAACCTCAGGCTGTGCTGCTAAGGAGAGGGGGGGCTTGGCCCGGAAGGGATGGGCAGGTGCCACTTCAACACAGTCGTTTTCTGGGGTGGAGGTCTTCGAGGCTTCTTAGCTAAACCGTCTGCGTTTCCCCCTGCGGCAGAAGCCAGAGCTGTATTGTTAACTCAGGCATCGACACTCGGACTGCTGGTTGGTGTCTCTGTCAGACAGACGCTTTCAGTGAGTTTATGTCCGGTCCTATCGAGTCCTAAACAAATGTGATTTCTGCTGAAAAGGAAAGGTAAATGGCTTACCTTTTAGGAGTTCTGATATTTCTCATAATCACCGGAGTTGCTTTTGAAAGGATGTGTCTGAACTTGTGGAACGGCAGACCTTTTCCCTCGAGTTTCAGAGGACGAGACGGATGTCCTCAGGACCGCGGCCCAACCAGCAGTGGCCGCTGTGCTTCTGATTCCAGGTGTTCAGCCCAGCGTGGCCACTTCCCGCCCCCACTCAGAACTGGGCAGAGGGATGCTGGGCGCACCGCCACGCTCAGTGTGTGGGTCCTGACCGGCAGCAGCGCCTGCAAAGATGCTGGAAATGCAGGTTCTCAGGCCCCGCCCCAGGCCTGCTGAGTCAGAGACGGGGGTGAACTCGGTGACCCGCATCTTAGCGTGCCCTCCAGAGCTTTCTGAACCCCCGGCTCTGTCCATGTGCCTGGGCCTGGCCTGGCTTGTACAAGTGGGAGAGCCAAGCTCTCATTTCATGCACCTTGGAGAAGCTTATTAAGTAGCCCGAGTTTTTCCAGAAAGAAGTTTTTAAAAATGTTCAGCCAAGAGAGTTACGTAAGGCACTTGGACCGGGAGTTTGTAAGCGCGCTCCCTTTAGGAGGGTGAGCGGAGGACGATGTTCCTGTGCAGTGAGGGCTGGGGGGTGGGGGGGCTGCGGCTCAGACAGCAGCAGGGCCTGGGCCCCCACAGGGGGAAGGAGGGGGTGCAGCGCCGAGGGGAGGGCGGCAGGCTCTGGAGACGTCAGTCAGTGCCCCGCATGCTCAGGCACACTCCCTCCTTGCCAAGGGCCCTGCGCAGAGGGCCCTAGGCTGAGAGTTGCCGGCCTGGGGTTTGTCCCTAGTCCCTGCCGCCCTCCTGCGCAGGCGCCTCTGCCTCCCACCCCCTGCGCCCAACTCTGTGCTGGCCTGTCTTCCGCCCCAGTTGGTGTTTGCTCCGTGGAGCCCAGTGGTGAGATCACCTGCCGGTGTCAGAGTGTGAGACTGAACAGACTGTCCCGGGAAACGTTCTCGGGGTGAAGCGGGTCTGCTCCCCGGGGAGCCAGGCCCCCCCCAGCCCCCCCACCCCCCCGCACCACCAGTGTGCCCTTCGCTCTCGGTGTGCTGCTGATCAGGGCTGGCCTCCGAGCTGAGATCTGGTCGCAGGGGCGCCTTTGCCCCCCAGTGGCATCTGAAGAAGAAATGTCTTCGGAAGCCAGGACTCGGCAGAGAGGCCGCCGAGCCGAGAAGAAGCGATCAGGGCGCACAGCGGCGTGCTCACACTCGGAGGGGTGTTTCCCCGAGTGCAGGCAGTCGTGCCGGCTGCAGGGGTCCTCGGGCCCCCTCCTGGTGGGGGGTGCAGAGCACGGGTCTGGTCTCCGCCCTCAGCCAGGTCGGGTCGGCGCCTCCCTCTGGCCCGCACTCCAGAGGCCCCTTGAACTGCGTGCTGTGGCAGCAGAGGAGGATTGCATTACCGGGGCCGTCAGGACAGACAGGCTCCCTGCCACACGTCGTCATGTCACTCACTGCGTGGGTGAAAGGAAACTCGGTGGGTCCTCAAATACGAAGCAATAGAGACCTCCAGCTCTCGCTGTCGTGGCTGCCAGCGCCACGAACAGGCGGTGACAGCGGCGGCCCCCTCGGAGGGTGCCTGCCAGGGACCGGGCACCACCACGTCACGGGCCTGCTGGGGGGGGGGGGGTGTGCTCGCCGCCAGGGTGGCTTTGTTTCCCGGGCGTGTGAGCACGGTACTGGGACTGCGCCTCCGGGACCGGCGTCGATGCTGGTCCAGAAGGGGACGATGTAGCGAATTCCCGAGTGACCTCCGGTGTGGCCTTGTTTCTTTTCCTTTTTCTTTTTGGTGCAGTGATCCACGTGGATAAAGAGAACAACCAAGCGAAGAGAGACGTCTTGAAAGCTATACTGCAGAAACGAGACATGCCCCACAGAAGGTACCGCTCCGCTTTCTACATTTCTACATTTCTGGTGGTTTGAGAGCAGGTCTCTGTAGCGCGGTGGGGGCAGAAAGCGCAGGGCGAGGAGTCAGAGCGTGGGACCTCCCTGGGTCCCCCCCAAACACAATCACCCTGCCTGCCACACGGGCTGACCCTACGGGTCCGGTGGTTCCCCGAAAACCAAAAGACTGTGCTGTCCGCACAGGTGACGCGGCCCACTGCCGGCCACTGTAACTAAGGAGCTTCACTGAGCTTGCAGGGAGGGCGCCCTTCGGACCACACGGCGTGGGCGTAAACCCCTGCCCCAGCGAGTACTAGGTGTCTGACCTGGGACAGGTTCCCGTGCCCCACGGTCCTTGCCTGCAGGACAGGTGACGGTGCGGCCCGGGCTGAGGCAGAGATTGCAGAGTGTTCGCCGGCGGAGAGACTGGCCCCTGACGGGCACCTAAGTACACGGCAGTGTCAGTCGCAATCAGTGTAGGTAGTGGTAATGCTGATGTTATCGTTTTAGTAGCTCATCGGCCTTTCGGACTGATATTTATTTTACTATCACGGCATAATCATTTATCATTTGATTTTCTTTAATGCATGGTGGGGGGGGGCAAACTTGAACGGGACACTTTGCAATTCTGGTCCCGTAGAGAAACTACACACTTTTGAAAAGGGAACAAACCTGGTCTCAGTGAGTGTGCACTGTCGTGTGAGATGCCCCCTGTGCAGTTGGAGGAGTCTCAGAACTGCCGTGAACCCCGAGCTGACCCCCCCCCACGGTCTGGGGGACCCTCGGTCTCGTCTGCGTACCTTGTGGCCCAGAGACGGCTCAGCCTCTCGCTGCCCCCGACCTGGAGCCCCCCCACCACCGGAGAGAGACCCGGGCTCCCCACCGCCCGGGAGCTCCTGGAGTGAGGGCTGGAGGCCCGTTCCTCACGGAGCTGCCACACGACAGTTTGTCCCGGTTCAAGAGGGCAGACGGGAAGTCTCGGCTCGTGGGCTCTCAGAGCAGCTTTGCATTAAGTCCTCGAAGTGTGTGCCGCATTCATGCCGACGCCCCGGGAGCTGGCCAAGGCTCTGTCTGTCCCCGGCCCTCCCCAGTGTCGGCGGCGCCTCGCAGGCCACAGCCAGAGCCGGCTGTGCCCTCGTCCCCGTCCCCGGACACGCACTGCGCAGCGAGCTCTGCAGAGGACCTTTGCCTCCTGCCCCATGCGGCACTTGCACGGGTACAACCGTCACTTTGAAAGGAGGCCACGCACTGAGCCGAGACCTTAAAGAACACGTGTTCGAAGTCGTCGTATTTTACGTGCCGTCCCCACGCTGCACCCTCCACAGTCCCTGTGTGGACAGGTGTTCCCGTGGCTGCGGCGCGGGGACTTCTGTTTCCTAACGTGGACTGAGCAACGCAGTGAGGTGTTGAGCGCTTGTTGTCAGCAAATCAAAGCACCGTCGCGTTCGCCTGTGTGTTGGGAAAGGATATGATGCATGCGTATTTTCCAAGGCCCAGACACTGAGATTTTTACCTGAGAACGTTACCCAAGAAGCAGGTTTCTTCTTTCACTTCTGACGTGGGACGGGTGCGTTTTGAAAATGGTTGAAACTGTAGTTTACGAGCACCCGGGGTTCGCGCCGCGGCGCCGAGACACGTCCGGGGGGGGGGGCCCCCGCGCTGCAGGCTCCTGCCGTGTGGCTCGTCCGGGGAGCCTGGCCCCCCCTCCACGCGTCACTGACGCAGGTCGGCCCCAGCGAGCCCCGCGGTGCGTGTCCAGAAGTGAAGTGGAACTTGGGTGCTGCTTGTAAGTGGAGAGACCGCTGAAGCAAGGCAGATAATCCCATTTCCTTCCCATTTCCGCGGGGCGGAGCTGCAGCACCCGTCTGCCGCGGTTCAGCAGGCCCGGTCTCCGCACCTCACAGAACACACACGCGGTCGGTGAAACTGCTGCTCAGCAACTCCAGAGCTGTGCGTTTCCATGGGAAAGATTGCGTTTCTATTGAAAAGGCTGCCCTGACCCCAAGGTCTCTGTTCACTGGGTCCCATTAGCCTTCCCAGTAGAAGTGTCGAGGGGGGGGGGTCACATGGTGCGTGGCAGGGCCAGCCTGTGCCTCGTCCCCGCCTCTCGGAGCTCCCTCGGATCGGAGGTGCCTGGCTCCAGGGCTTGGGAAAGCGGGTTGCTGTCCGTGCGCAGGCTTGGTGTGCTCGACTGACTCCAGTGGCTGGCTCCCATAATAACCCACCTAGCCTGATACCACTTTCTTTTTATTGAGATCATTGGGAATGTCAAGATTTCGCCCGTAGTGATAAAAGCCCTCCGGGGAGTTCTGTTTCCCGGCGCATGACTGCGTCCCCCCCCCCACCCCCGCAGCATCCGCTTCACGGTGGTCAGCGACCCGCCCGAGGACGAGCAGGAGCTGGAGTGCGAGGACGTGGGCGTGGCCGCCGTGGACCTGGAGGCGGCCTTTCGGGAAGGGAGGGACCTCGTGGAGCAGGACATCGACGGTACGTATGGGCCTCGGGCCGGGCGGCAGTTGCTGCAACCCAGGCCCCCGATGAAGACCGCCCCTCGCTGGCTGCCAGGGCGGTGAGTCGCCCGGCCGGCTGCAGCCTCTGCAGCTGCAGCCGGCGTCTCCTTGGAGCTGGAAGTCTCTCCCCACACCCCTCCTCCGTCCTCCCCCTCCGCCTCCCTTTGACTCAACGGGAATTTAAAAATAATTAGTTGTGTTTCGCAAGGAATGATTTATTGTTTCTGTGTTGGGGGGTGGCATGTGACAAATTGGGCCACTGGGCGTTTCCGTGGTGTTTATGGAACCCTCCTGCTGCCAGGCCGCCTTTCGGCTGGGGCCTGTCTCTCCCACGGGGGCGCGTTCCGGGGCCTCCGCGAGGTTTCCCCTCAGTTCAGGGGTGCAGCTGGGCCGCAGGGTCCCAGCGAACACCCCGGGGGGGTCCTGGTCACCGAGTCCCCCCGGACGCGGGAGGACAGAGACCCCTGACCGATGTGCTCTGCTGGGTCTCACCGGGCGGGAGGCCCAGCGGGGCTTAACTGCTTCCCTTGCCTCTGGGAGGACATATGTGGAACGTGCTGCGGAAATTGTTCTTTAGGAATCAGACTTTCCAAAATCATTACCGGGGGGGCCTGACCTCTCCGCAGTATATGGACAAATGAGGCTGAGTCCTAGTCTCATTCGTCAAGTGAGCAGAGCCATCTCTGGGAAAATGTATGTATTACTTTACTCATTTATCTGTGCACTAGATGACAATTAGCTAAGCACCTAAGGGCCAGGCACACAGCCCAGCCATGGTCCCTACGTCAGGCTGCTCGGCCTGTGTATGTGTCAAGTGCTCAAAAGCCAAGCCCTGGCTGGTGTGGCTCTGAGGGTTGGGCAACGTCCTGCAAACTGCAAGGTCATCGGTTCGATTCCCGGTCAGGGCACATGCCTGGGGTGCAGGCCAGGTCCCAGTTTTGGGCACGCGAGAGGCAACCAATGAATGTTTCTCTGGCACACCAAGGTTTCTCTCCCTCTCTTTCTCCCTCCCGTCCCCTCTCTGCAAAAAAAAAAATAAAAAATCTTCTTTAGAAAAGTGCTCAGAACTTAGGATCGAGCTAAGTGAGTAATCAAACTAGATCAAATACCCAAATCAGAAACCTGTCCTGGGAAATGCTGATAAACTAGGCGTATCTGATGACAAGACAGTTGGTCAGAACTTTGTCTGGCAGCCGCAGAAGAAAAAGGTGAAAGAATTAAAATATTAACCTAAACTACCCTATTAAAGACACCCAGGACCAAGGGGGTCTGACAAAAATAACCAAAATTATATGTGCTTTATAGTCGTAATCTTTTCTCGGTCAGTTCTGGCCAGCAGCCCAGGTTCTCACCGCGCACGACCGCAGGTGGCCACACAGCCCGCCCGGACGGCTGCGCGGCCCTGCGTCGTCGGGAAGGTCCCACCGGTGAGCCCCAGTCAGTGCAGGACGGGAGGGCCTGGCCCGGCGCCCTGCAGCGCCCCTGCCTGTTCCTTTCTCCACCCAAGCAAGAGTCTTTGTATCCCAAGCTCTGTTTGGAGTACACACACACACACAGACACACACACACCTACCCATTGAAAAGTTCAAGTGAAACCACAAGGAATACGAACAGGAACCACATAGACTCTTAAGTGCCATCGAACTCACAAAGTCCAGGATTCTGGCCCCAAGTCACACTAGGGAGTGTCCGTGTGCGCAGAGACAGGTCACAGGTTCTGAGTTCGCGTGCCGCCTGCTGCCCGCAGGGCCCAGAGGGCCAGGTGCCTCTGCCCAGCAGGGCAGCCCCCCTCCCCCCTCCCCCTGAGTCAGCATCTCTGCTCTGCTCTGCACCCCCCGCGGCGTCGGTCACAGACCCTCAGGGCCCGACCACAGACCTCCCGCCTCCTGACTCTGCCGTTTTCGCTCTTCCTGCTTCCTCGTTAAATGGAATGCTCTGCTCGGGGAGACAGTCGCCTGTCCCAGTTAGGACCCAGTCATTTCTGTGCGATAGTTGGAGCAAAGTCTTCTCTGTCGTGTCTTGGTCCCTTTCAGACTCACTTCTCTCCAGCTCAGGAACGCAGACTCGGTGTGGGGGTGGGCGTCCACTGGGCAGGCGTCATTAGCTCTAGCCCCTTGAGCAAAACGTGCCCAGACACGCAACACGTCTGAAATGCGTGTCTGCACACACACGCGGCAGCTTCAATGTTAGGTTTCTGAGATGCCGGTGGACTTCGGACTTTTATAGAAGTACCTTCGTCTTTTTAACTACTGTTTCAGCCGCCCTGCCTGAATAAAAATCGTTTGCATGATGGGAACGTTTTTCTGCTCTTGTCTCCCTAGTGTTGGACGCCCGGGCGGGCGGTGGAAGAATCGGCCAGCTCCGGGTGACGGTCGAAGCGCTGCAGGCTCTCCGGTCTGTGTACGAGCAGTACAGGGACGACTGGGAGGCCTGAGCGACGGCTCCGGCTCCGGCGCGCCTCCTGCTCCCAAGTAAACCGCCCCCACCCCCCCCACCCCCCGTGCCAGCCCTGGGACGCGCAGTGTCTGGTCACTCCGGCGCCCACCATCTGCAGCCCGTGGGGAGCGGGGAGGCCTGGCGCTGAAGCGTCCGAGTTTTGCGCACTCTTTCCCGTGTTTATTTTTCTGTCCCCGCCTTCCCTCGCCCGCCACCCCTCAGGGTCTCGGGTCCCCACAGCGGGGACACCTGCTCCGTGATTTATACCTGCACGACAGCGTGAGAGAGTCCGCGTGCGTTCTCAACACTTTCTTAGGAGGTGCTGAAATGCAAGTCCCGTTTTTATTTTTAATAAGCCAGCAGCAAACATCGTAGAAAACCCGTGAAAAAGAAATACTTTCATGTGATCCCTAATCACCCCAGTAAGTGGAATGCCTGTGATTAGCCTCATTAGGAGTTTTACACTGTGAAGATTTTATTAGAAGCAATATATGAAAATTACTTGGATTAATGTGTTAATCCTCCTCTTTAAAATGCTAATATCCACTTTATGCACAGTACAGCTCAGTGTGCATTTTCATTGATGCCTGCAGTTGCTATCAATTAAATATGAAGAATGAGACTTGGCCCCAACTTACTAAATTACTGCAAGTTTTCTGCTTTTCTCTCTTCAGAATTGCAGTTCTTCCTGTTTGCACTGTTTTCAATGACTTGTGCCGGCGATGTGGACACTGGGGGCCGGGAACGTGTGGGCAGGGTGTGAAGAGGAGACAGACACAAGTGTGTGTACGAACTTCTACTTCGAACACCGAGCTTTGCACAGAGGAAGACCTTATTAAAAGCATGGCTCAAGATGATATGCTCAGTTAGACCCGAAAGGAGTATCTTTTTATCGTTCTTTAAATGTACATCAAGCTTGTACAATGCTGGGTGTGTATCTGGATAACCAGATCCTCAAAAAGCCGCTCAGAAAGTTAATTTTCTAGCTTTCGCCGGATCTCGCTGAAGGATTTAATTGATATTTTTAATGGAGCTGTGAATCAGCACTGTGAAAGAATTGTCTCTAGAGGTCTGGGCTATAATGCATTTCATTTTTTAATTTACTTTTTTATTTGTCGTTTTCTTCAAAGGATTTTTATAGGCTGTGGGTTTTCACTGTTTGCAAACAGGCTATGTTCCTTCTTAAGCATATGTAAAGTATTCAGGGAGATAAGTAATTTATTAAAATCTACCTAATTTGCCGTGATATATTAAATCTCTGCTTCAGTGATCACAGACCATTTCATTTAGAGAATTAGGCATTCCCTCTTTGTGTGATTAAAGCTCTGGAAAATGAGTTCTTTGCTCCTATTTGTGAACATTCAAAGCTCGCTAATGGCAAGAAGATGGAATAGATTATGAGACAATTTATTACCGTTCAGCAGAGGGAAAAAAAAAAAGCAGCTATAGTGCAGAAATGCGAGTATGAATATCCGCGTATGGTTCGAGAGCCATCTGTGCCCCAGCGGCTTCAGTAATGACCCTGGCCTCCGGGAGGCTTTGAAGCGGCGTCCGCATGGCATTAATTCGTGGGTGCGCGTTGTGGGGCCGGCGGAGCGCGATCCGACCACAGGAATCTCCACGTCCCGCGTCTGCCACCGGGCCTCCCTGTTTGGGGACTCCCGGCCCCGCGAGGAGTCATGCTCTGCTCATGCTCTGCGCATCTTCACCATAACTCGTTCCTCTGGAACCTGCTGGAGACCACAAACATCTGCGGCCGGAGCCTCTCCAAGCCCGGTAAACGGCCACATGTTGGTTGTCGCTTCAGCTGGCTCTGCGCGCATCCTCCCGGCCTCCCCCCCTCCCCACTCCGGCTTTCTCTGGCTTTCATGCAGGGACGGTGTCATTAGGGCCCGTCAGATCCCCGGCGGTAATTCGGAACAGCCGCGCCGCACCCTGGGATGAACCGAGTGGTTTTCGAGACATTTGTTGTGGTCTTCTCCCAGGAGGTTTGCGTTATTGTTCTAAAACATTACATCCCGCACTGAATGCCCGTTCTGTTGGGGGGAGGGCCCGATCGCGCTGACTCCCTTCCGTGTGGGTGGGGAGGGGGTTCTCAGAAAACCTCTGCGATCCGGTGGGCGGTGTGGGGTGCGCACCCCCGGTGAGAGTAGGGGAATAGCCTTGTTCTGTCCCCTCCCCCCAGATGGGCCACTGAAGACGGCGTTTCCCGTGCCACCGCACTCCCCAACCGCAGAACCGCTCACAAACCTCTTTTCCCGAGTGGCCCCGGTGCTCTCCTGTGGACACCCCCCCCCCGCCCCGCCCCGCTGGGCTGCTGACCTGTCCGAGGGCGGTTTCTTGTTCGTCCCCTGCCCGCCAGCGCGCCCGGAGAAGCTGGCCACCCCCTGGGTCCGGGGCAGTGGTTTTCTCTCCGTGACGCAGCCCGACCCTTCCAAATAGCGGGGAGCAGGGGCAGGAGGGTGCGGCGGGGCCTGGCCGCACGAATGCCCCCGTTGAAGGTGACGCTGCTGCGACCTGCAGCTCCTGGCGGGAGTGCGCCCACCGCGCCCGGCACGCGGGCCGCAGTGCCTCCGGCTGGAAGTGCGAACGGAGACGCGAGGTGGGGTGGGGTGTGGGCGAGCGCGTCCCGCGTGGTGCGTGCTCGCCTGCTGCGGCGGAGACGCCAGGTCCCCGGCCGCCGCCGTGAGGAGCCGTTGACAGAGATAGGTTTTATGGTTCACAGCGTGGTTTACGTAGGGAACACTTCTCTTCACTCTCAGTTTCAGCATGTTTTCTAGATTATCACGGTTTATTGCCGTTTAACTGAAATTAGTTTTTTAAAGAATAAATAGAGAATATATTTAATCAAATAAAGAGCAGCCGCAGTGGAATGCTGCTGCTCCTGCCACTCACTCGTTGCCACAAAACACAAATAACGTCTGTGTGCCGTGAAGCAGCGCGGGCTGCGAGTGGCCGTGTGCCGTGGGGGGCTCCGCGTGCCCCCGTGCTCCCGCGGCACAACGTAAATTACTTTAGCAATCTGACATCAAGAGCTGCGACAATGAAAACCACTTCTTACACATGTCCTAACAAGAATCTGATTAACGTTTCTGTGGATGTGGAAAATAACTTTTTTTACTCAAACTGGCAGTGTTGCTGAATGTCGAATGATTTCCTTATGCGCCCGAGAGCAGAATGTGGGTCATGTCTGCGAACAAATTTGACAATAAAATGGCATCTCCGTGTAGTTTGAACCGACCGAGGGAGGGCTTTGGGGGACATGGAATCGTCCAGTGATGGACAGTGTCGGGGTGAGCAGGTGTTAGGGAGTCACAGGTGCCTGAAGGCCTCCTGCGGCCACCTGCACAAAGGCAGACGACACCCACGCGTCTGCACGCCTCGGGCCACACGCCCCACTCATGAGACCCACACGTGGGAGCAGGGACAGCTCTGCGTCTCCGCTGTCCAGGACACGACCAGCCGGGAAGCTGACGAGCATCATCACAGCCGCAGGAGCACGTGTTTCAGAGACCCCGAGACCGAGCGGATGGAGTTGGGAAGCGTCTCCCCCCCCCACCCCTGAGATCTCTCTCGTCTCACAAGGTAGCGTTTCCACTTCCACCCAGAGCGCCACCCCAGACGGGCGCTTGGCAGCCTGACCCCTGGACATCGAGCCCTGCTCCTGGCCTTGCTACCCCTTCATCCGCGCCCTTCCGGTCCCCGCGGCAGCGACTGCGGCATCGGACAGCGTCCCCTCCACAGCTTTTCTGAAGCGCGAGCCGGTTCTCTCGGAACAGGGGCACCCCCCCGCCCCCCACTTTTTCTGCAGCCCCTCGCCCCTTCCCACTCTGGGCTGAGGTTCGCCTTTCTCATCTCCGCCATCACTGCACACCGTCGGCTTTCTTACTGAATTCACCATCCTGATCTTTATTCGTCCGTCGTCTGTTCCGTTCACACCTCCGTTCAGCCGGCTACCCCCTCCCCCCGCTCGTGTTCAGTTAGTGAAAGCCCCCCCCCTTTTCCTGGGGGGACACAGCCACTGCCTGAGACGCCAGCCCCTGTGGCGGCTCCGAGGGCCTTCCCAAGATGTGCCTTGTGTTAAGACCTGTCTTAGTTTGCCCTGACCGGTGTCGTTCAGGAGGTTGGGTGCTGTCCCACAGAGCGAAAGGTCACCAGTTTGACCCCCGGCACATGCCTGGGTTGCAGGTTCGGTCGGGGTTGGGGCGTGTACAGGAGGCAGCCAATCAGTGTTTCTCTCTCACGTTGATGTTTCTCTCCCTTTCTCCGTCCCTTCTGGTCTCTCTAAAAATTGAAATAAAAAGGCCTGTCTTAATTTAACATGGCAGGATCGGTCTTAGCCCTTATGAAACTAAGAGAACAACAAGCTAATTCTTGTATCTTTGCTTCTTGTACTTGATTTACGGTGAAGTAACAGAAGCTGTAATTCAGAAAGTTCTTGGGAATCACTGGTAAGGAACTGAAGCATAGTGAATTTTTAACTTAAGGAAATGTGTTACTAAAGTTGAGTTTTATTTGGTATAAATGTTTTTGCCATAATCACCAATGTCATCCCAATGAACAATAGGGAAAATAAGAGAAATTTTCGAGGAACACTTAAGAGACCACACACAGCACAGAGAATCCGGAGACTTTTCTACACCAGAAGGAAAAACAAGCTGGAAAATGAGAGAGAGGGATTGAGTATGTGAACTAAAGCTACGATGTGCGTGATTATTGTTCTGGATTCTAACAGGACAAGAAGTAACCATCTTTACGAAACAACGAGGAGACGGAACTCTGCAAACCTCCAGGCGTGTCCAGCCTTCTGGCGTCGTTGGGCGCACTGGAAGACTCCGGCCGCTCCTTAAATACATCACGACACGTGATCACAAAGAAACCTCATCGTGTTTTAAGTAAATTTACGATTTTGTGCTGGGCCACATTCACAGCCACCTGGGCCGCTCTTTGGACACCCCTGCTGCTGTGTGAGTGGGGGGAATGCAGCTCAGAAGCCCCCACCGAAGCGCAGGGAGGCAAGGGCTGGCAGGAGAGAGGAGCTGGGGGCGGGATTCTGGTGGTGGCAGAAGCCACACCCCCCTGGAAGGAGGAGGCCCACCCTGAACGGGGAATGCTCAGACCAGGCGTGAAGCCCACTGCATCAGAACGCTGGCTACCGGGAAAGGGGATGGGAGGGTTGGGTGCGGGGGTGAGGGACGCAGGGCTGGAGGCAGTGGCCTTGAAAATGCACCCCGCGTTTTGCAAGGGCAAGGTGTCCCTTGGAGATGTAGTAATTAAGTGAAAGAAGAAACCAGCTGAAACTGTGGGCCCCAGAGAAACAAGATGGATTAAACGGCATCAATAGCAACAAAAATCGGTCACTTATTAAAGAAAACTGCTCTTCCCTATAGCAACAGAAGAGGACACTCTGGAGCTAAGGAAACTTGTGAGCCACCCAGGCTCTGCCCCTATGATTATCTGCCCCAGCTCGTGCGGAAGAATCCTGCACAAGTGTTAATTGGAAAAGAAAAGGAATCCCACATTCATATTCCTTAAGAAGTAAGGATGGAGGTCAACTTTAATAATGGCGAATGTAATAGTTTGGACGACCCTTTTCGTTAAGGACAAACAGAAAAGCTGATTGTGTGTGCGCACACACACTAATACATTCAGTCCAGGCACAGAGGACAGCCCCGAGGGAGGGGGGCCAGGCATGACAGAGGCGTCTGCCCACCGGAGGGCAGGGGTCACGGCTCGGAAGCTGACCAGGGCCTTCCCCGGGCACGGGTGCACATCCGAAACTGGCCGGGCCCAGAAGGAGGTGAGACCACTGAAGACCGAGACGATGAGGGGAACGGGCCACTCAGGTGATGGAGCCGTCGTCTACGGACTTCGGGGACTTACTCAGTGTGTGCACAGTTCGAAGGCAATCCTGAGACAGCTGACGTGGAATTGGACATCATTTAAAAAGAACCAAGTGGAGCTCTTGTGAGTGTGACCGAGATGAAGATTCACTAAGTGGTTCTAGCAGCAAATCAGACAGAATTTAAGAGGCAATTGAAAAAAAAGTCAAGATGACATTCATCCTAATGCATGGAAAGAAAGTGAAACGTAGTAAAAAAAAAGGCAGGGGGATTTAAAAGACACCAGATTGTGTGGAATATTATACGTGTAATCGAAGGACAGAAAAAGGGGGGATTAGAATCAATATCGCAAGAGAGAATGGCTAAGAATGTCCCAGAATACACATCAGGCGCAGATGGGAGGAGGACGCGGTCCCCTATGCGCACGATGGACAGACACAGAGACAGTCACTCAGAGCGCGTCAGAGAGCCAGGGAAACCCAAAGACAACGAG